TTTTCTCTTAACTAACCATAGTATAATGATCAAAATCAGGAAATTAGCATTGTTTCAGTACCATCATCTAGCTTTTAAACCTGATTCAAAAATTGCCAACTGTCCCACCAATATTCTTTACAGCAAAAGAAAAAAAAACATTATTTTGGTCCAGGATCTAATTCAGAATCAAAATGGCATTTAGTTGGCATTTCTCTTTAATCTTCTTTAACCTAGAACAGTTCCTCAGTCTTTATTTCTTATGGTTCCAACATTTTGAAAAAGTGCAGACCATTTATTTTAGAGAATGTCTTTCCTTTTTGTTCTGTCTCCTATTTCCTCACAATTAGATTCAGCTTCTGTATTTTGGGTGGAATTGCACTAAAGATAGGTGTGTCCTAGGGTTTTGAGGATTAAAGATGTGCAACAGCTGAGAACAGTGCCCACTGGGCACCCTCTAGGTGTTGGCTACTGGCGGCATGAACATTAATGCCCTCAGGGGTCCCCTCTCCAGTGGCCCTCCCTGCCAGGTTCGCAGAACACCTTCCACCACAGTCTGGGCTATTATCAGATATTTACTGAGCCAAGTTGCAGATAATATCATTGGGGAGATGTGACCTGTACAGGAAGAACAGCCAACTGCACGGAGGAGATGTCATAAAGGCTGCATGGTGGTCCCTGAGACTCTAGGTGCTTGGGCTATTGGGACTAGTGTAGAAGGAGGGAAGCAAGCCCTGCTTGACAGTCATAGTCCCAGCTGAGATTCAAGAGCACAAACCTTTGGTGCAGGTCTGGACAACCCACAGTGGTCTGGTTGCACTAGAATGCAGAGATCCTTGACTGGGAAGCAGACTGGAGCCTCTGCTAGCATTTAGGGACAGACTAGATTTAGAGAATACAGATAAGAGGGAGGAAGATGCCCTGATGGTTTATGGTGTGCCCAGTTGGAAAGATCATAGCATTTTCCATCAAGGCATAGAATCCATGAGAAAAGGGAAAAGATGATGTGACATCCAACTTTTAACAGAAGGGATTCCTTGCCCCTGGTACAGCCAGGTGGCGATGTCCAGTAGCCAGGGAGACCTGGAACTCTCATCTGGGCTGGACATCTGGATTGGGAGCCATTTATATTTTCCTATGAAGGATAGGATGGTAATATCTACCTCAAGGCCTTAGTGTAAGGACGATATAATGTGCACATGGCAGGCACAAACCACAAGTGCTGGTATGGCAGAGCAAGTGTCCTCATGATGACAGGATGAGTGGAAGCCAGTGGATAAGGAGGGCCTAAGAAGAGAGTCTGAGGAGAAGCCCTTCAGGTGCTAACCAGTTCCTGGTCTCCAACTAGAGAGGAACTGTCCTGTATCCAAGCAGAAGCCAGTGGTCTACAAATCCCACTAACACCTCACCCCTTCTTGAGGATCTGAGTTCTGGGGTGAATATTCCCTGCAACCCCAACAATCTCCTCTATTCTGCCTCCTCTTACTTCCAAGTCTTAATGGCAGTTGTACCCACAGGGAGAATAGAAAACCTAGCTTGCTGATGGATAGCTGGCACCTGCAACTTTGTTTTGGGCCTTCTGGTAGCTCTATGTTCATTGATCCATGTTGAGTGACCTCTAGGGAAAGGCTTGGATGACAAACACTCAAATCAAAAGACCCTGGCAGGAGGCAGAGGGCCTTGAGTTAAAGACTTGTCCTGGCAGGGGCTGGGGACCCCCCCCCCCCCGCCGCTGCTCTTTGTACTTCTGGCTCCCACTGAGTAGTCAATTCTTGGATCCATGTGCCCAGTCCCAACTCTCAGACCCCTCAGTCACCAACATTTTCTCTTAGTTTTCTCACCATTAAGTCACACACTTCCAGAGCTCACTCTGTACTCCCCTGTCCCAGACGGGCCCCCTTTCCCATCTTTTGATCAGTCTCTCCTAGACTAGAACTCTTGGCATCATCTGTAAGTTTCCCCACCTCCATCTCCTCTCCTCTAATTAGCCATCAATCCTCAGCATCACATAAAAATAAACAAATAAAGGCATTCTGTCCATTTACAACTACCAAAAATAAAAATAAAAAACATATGTATTGCCAGGATGTTTGGTTCCCCAACTGGATTTTAAACTTCAAGCCTAGAGGACCATGTTTTTCCTCCATTTCTTTTCTTTCCCTTTCTTCTCCCTCCCTCTCTCTAATCCCCTGGTCCTGGGGAAGCACAGTAGGTGCTTAGCACACCCTAAGCTATGGCACTGTACCTGCTGTAGGGCATTGCTGTGGCACTCAGCATCGTGCCCCTGCAATATCTGAAGATAGCTCCAGACCATCTGCAAGTTGATGTTACCATACTCACCAACCAGGACAGGTCGTACACCCTCAACCTGGTGGCAATACAACACCCTCCAGAGCTAAAAACTGTAGGCTTCATTGTTTCAAGTAGCACCCAGGAGGGAGAAGGGAAGGAGGAGAGGAAAGGTTCCCTAGGAAACCATTATGGGCTCCTAGGCTAGGCCTGAAGGAAAGAAATCCAGGTCTTCAGTTTCTTTTTCCTACCTTAGTCTCTCTTTCGTTTCCTCCAAGTGGGGGTAAGTACTGTGGGGCTAGTATGGTAGGGAGTGAGAGAGATGCTGTCAATCGGAGCCCAATCACTGGAAGTTCCTGAAGGTTTTATGTTCCACTGGGGTGAAGGAAGAGGGGGAGAAAGGAAAGAAGATGCGTTATCATCCTCTTGATCTCTGTGCATGGGGACATGGGAGATTGTCATCGGATCTAATAAGAGAGAAGCCAATGAACTATCTCTCTAGCTTTACAAGGCCAAAAATCAGGAACATTCTCAACTGACTTCAGGTAACAGTGTGCCATCCCCTCTGCCTTTCTTGATCCTTGACCTTATCTTGTCTTGCTTTCACTTCTTTATCTCCTAGTGTTGCAGGGACAGACAAGGAAAGGCACCGAAGATAGCAGGAAACAGTTTTATTTGGCTGCAGCCAGATTCAGAGGGCACAGCTTTTGCTGTAATCAATCAATCCTCTGAACCCTGAGTTCAGGTAGTTTCAGAGTTTTATACCCAGCATGTAAGGGCAGGGACTCAGAAGTTCACAGTCTGCAGAAGTTCACATAAAAGCAGCTTTTTCTTTCACTGTTTGGGGCAAGTTAACCCTTCAAGGACAACACCTGAGAAGGGGAGAGCTTCTTCTCCCCTTTCTTTCCTCCCCCTGCCAGCTGTTACCATGGAGTCCAATTGGTAACTTATCTTAAAAATGTAGACATCTCTGTGAAGTCCATTTAAGGCCGGAGACCTTGCTTGCACATTTCTACAAACTACTATACTGGATACATGACTATGAAAAACTAGTAAGGGGGTGTGCAGCACCTGGAGTGCTGTTATCTTCCCAGCCAGTGGCCAAGTAAAATAGGGCGACACAAAAATAGGAAGTTTATCTACATTGAACTCTTTTGCAGAGACTCTTTTGCTGATAGTCCTAAAATAAGTCATGGTGAATATTTCTGGAGAAGCCCAATTAAGACTTTTCTGTGGAGAAAGGGGGTGCCACTTCACTAGTTCCTTCCCACCTCTCAGGTTCTGCTTTGCTCCGGTATACTGGTTCCCAAGTAGTAGTAGATATCTACTGAATGATGTTATTGCTAACCTGTAGAAATTCAATTGAATTTTGTGAGTTGAACTTATGTTACTTTAGAAATTTTTACATATGTGTATATTCATTGGGATTTCACATAGGAATAATTTTTTTGTTACTAATTCTAATATTTTTTTAAAAAATTTAGTGGGCTGAGGATATAGCTCAGTTGGTAGAGTGCTTGCCTTGCATGCATAAGGCCCTGGGTTCAATCCCCACCACCACTATTGTTGAAGGACAAAATATCATTATTTTATTTATTCATTTTTCATGTGTGCTGAGAATCAAACCCAGTGCCTCACACGTGCTAGGCAAGCATTCTGCCACTGAGCCACAACTCCAGCCCTTCCTCTTTAATTTTAAACCTTTTATTTCACTTTAAGCCTTACTGCATTGGTAGGACTTCTGGTATAATGTTGAATAGGAATGCTAAGAGTAGACATCCTAGGGCTGGGGTTGTGGCTCAGTGGTAGAGTGCTCAACTAGCATGCATGAGGCACTGGGTTCAATTCTCAGAACCATATACATGTAAAATAAAAATATTGTGTCCACCTAAAACTAAGAAATAAGGAATCTCTCTGCCCTTTGGGTGCCACAGTTGCTCTGAATGGACAGTCATTTTTCTCTTCCTCAGAGTTGTGGCTCCTCCAATCCTATTGGGAGCCTGCTTAGACCTGCTGCATTAGAGACTGGAGAAAAGAAAGAGCAATTTGGGATTTCTCCACTTTTTTCAAACATTTTGAATTCCCTTCTCTGTCCCTTGAGCATTAAATGTAGGGCTTTTCTTGCATCTCTGTCCATGGCCCACCATTGCTGGCTCTTACACATAGGTGTCTGGGTTATTGAGACCAGTAATTCTACCACCCTGAGAGGCAAACACTTCCTTTCTGGCCTCTAGGTTTTTTTTTTCCTTCTTAATTTCCTGAAAGATCAACTACAAATTTCAAAAAAATATTTTTGATATGCTATATGTGGTATTTAAAGATGTCTATAGGAAGTAAATACTAGAAGAATGTTATCTCCCAAATTGGAAGAAGTTTAACAACTTTTAAATTTTAATCTCTCACTTTTCCCCCAGAATAACTGATCTAGTAAATGTTACTAATTAATGAATTAACTATAAAGTTTGACATTTGTAACATGTTAAAAACAGTAATCTAATTTGGAAACTTAAAACATCTCTTCTGAATGCTGGGGCAAGAAGAACTCACTTTGATTTGCTAGATAGATTTAGGAACTAAGAAATAATTTGCCACTAAGGCATGTAGACAAAGAGAAAAGCTGGGAGGAGTGTATTCAGGACTCATTGTGAATGTGCTTGTTTATGTTAATTTATATGTTTAAGTAAAAAAGTCAACTGTTGTCCCTTTTCCTACTTGACTTTTTTGCCTTACAGAAGCGAATGGATGGATTTAAAAGAAGAGTATTTGGCATTACAAAAAGCCAGCATGGCTTCTTTAAAAAAAACTATATCCCAAATAAAATCAGAATCAGGAATGGAGACAGAAGAGTTCCTAATAACTCTGAAATGAGAAATGAAAAAGCTCACAGTCAAGAGAATCACCCTCAGAAGAAAGTTAATGCTCCAGGACCACAGTTTGTGAGTGGAGTGATTGTGAAGATCATTAGCACAGAACCTCTACCTGGCAGGAAACAAGTTCGGATACTTTGGCCGCAATCTCAGAAGTTGTTTATGTTGATTTGTTAGAAGGAGATACAGAATGCCATGTCAGATTTAAAACTCCTGAGGATGCTCAAGCAGTTATGAATGCATATAATGAAATTTAACAAAAAGCACTGCTGGAAACTCGAGGTCCTTTCTGGTGATCACGAACAGGGGTATTGGCAGAAGATTTTGATAGATAGGCCAAACTTAACCAGCCTCGGGAAAAGAAAAGAGGCACTGAGAAGTTAATCACCAAAGCTGAGATCAGACTGGCAAAGACTCAACAAGCAAGTAAACACATTAGATTTTCTGAATATAATTGAAAAAATTAAAGTTCACCTCTTAATTTCACTGGATACTTAAGTGATTCTGGGAAAATCCATTTTTATTATGGTAATACTACATAATGAATGTATTTCTAAAATCTACATTTAATTAAAAAACTTTGTTCCTTAAAAATAAAATAAAATAAAGACTTCTATAGTAGGAAGGTTGTTATCTTCTATATTGCTAGACTTGGAAGTCAGGATTTTAAGACTTATCAAGAAATATGAGGCGCTGGGGTTGTGGCTCAGCGGTAGAGCACTTGCCTAGCACGTGCAAGGCCCTGGGTTCAATCCTCTGCACGACATAAAAATAAATAAGTAAAATAAAGGTTTTTTAAAAATATGAAAGGGTCATGATCTGCACAGTGGCAGCCTGGTGATGTGGGAAGAGTGCAGTGCAGAGCTTCTGAAATCTGGGCACCCAGCACTGCTTGACCATTTGCCAAGTCATTTGAACTGAGGCCACTCACTGAAGCAAAGCTCTCTAACTTTATCATCCATAAAATTTTCTTCTATTTTTAAATTTAGTATGTCCTCTTTTCTCTGTTACAGTAAGTGCAATGTTTTTGAACTTATTCTCCATGTTTCTTAACTTTTATATTTCCCATCTCTTTGTCCACTTTGGGAGAATAACTGGGCTGACTCTCCTCTTACAAATGTACCTTTTTGGCTGTGGTTATTCTACTATTCAATCCATCAAATGAATTTTTACTTATTCATTTATTTTTGTTATGAAACAGGTGCTCTCTATTTTCCTCTTCTGGTTGATGGTATGATCCCAATAGCTATTTCTTTATCTTATGGGGATCCTGCCTTTTCTTTATCTATATTTAGTTTTATATCAAAGTTTGAATTTCTGAGCACTTTAAAAATGAACTCAATATCTTTTTTAATAAACCTTTCTGGAGATTCAATTATACTCTCTCTAAAGTTTTGTTCAGGTTATATTATTAACTGTGTCCATGAATGCTAGGTTTTTTTTGTTTGTTTGTTTCTGGAATGTGGCTCCTTTATTTTTAGCGGTAACTTTCCTAGATATGTGTTGATTCTTGGTGATGCTTTCTGGCATTTTTTATACTAGAGATTTCTCTGAAAACGATATCTATTACTGCAACCAGACTTCAGTAATTGTGGGAGAACATACAGTAATATGTGAACAGTCCAATGTGTCAATATTCTGTCTTTTGAACAGGGGGCCCTCTGCTCTTCCTGGATATGATCAGACACCAAGGTATCTGGTCTATAAACTTCCTGTTCTGTTGAAGTGACATGTACTACTTGGTAAAGGGGAATATTAGGAAAGCATGGTTGAAGGAGAAGCTCAATCCTGTGTGGCTGCTGAGGGTCCCCTCTGCTCCCTATATTCACAGCCCCAAGCTCAGAGCGTTCCCAAATCCATTGCCATCTCCTGGAGTAGTCCTTTCTGCCCCATACTGTGGGCTGTGGTTTCTACTTTGATTCCCATTCTACTGGCTATTTGTCTTTCAAAGATATGCTAGTCCTCAGGGGCAGCCACATCTAATATTTCAAATCCATTATGAATTTAGAAGTAGATCTCTACTATTTCTTCTAGTATTTCAGACAAGAAAAGATAACTGAAGTAATGCTTAATCATCCATCTTGAGTTCCTCTGCATGTAATTCTTTTTCTGTTTTTTAAGTTAAAGTATTAACATGGAATCATCTTTCTGTTTAGTTATTAAGCTATAATGTCTACATTCAACTTTTTGAACTGTGTGCTCTTGTGTTCAGTCCTACCACATCTTTATTACTTAGCTCTGTGGTCAACACTTAGTGGGTGATCAAAATATATTTGTTCAGCTAATATGCAATATCCTCCAAAAAGTGTACAAGGCTTAGCTGTTTGTGATAATTATTAATTAATACAAGCTAATGAATGTCTAAACAATTTTATTCCCAGGATAAGTAGGAAAACTGTATTTTGAAAAATGTGGCCTTCTTCAGCTATACCTTTAGAAGGAAACAAAGTTAGAAGCTGTTGATCTTACATAGTAGTGTTATGGGGAGCCACTTCAGAAAACTCTTTAAGTCCGAATTCAAATCAATGAGAGCTTTATTTACCTGGCCAGGGTCTGTCACCCATCTGTAGAGACTGAAGCTCTGTGGGAGAACAGCAATTTCCTGGCCTGTCCCCAGGATTGGGGACTTAAAGATGAAAACCACAACTCAGGGGCTTTCCTTAGCGTCATGCAAGCAAGCCAGTCATAGAAGCTAAGACAGCAATTAGCACAGCAACTCACAATTGCGTCTTGGGTTTGAGCAGGTGTTAGACAACCACATCCTGAGTTTGAGCAGGTGATTAGCGGGTGCAAGAATCTACTTCAAAGTCTTGGGTCAACAAGACCACCATATCCTGGTTGAGTTCATTTTGTGGGGTACAAAGTATAGAAAACAATATATTATAAGAAAACAGCTCATGTAACAGGTTTTTTTTTCTTTTAATAGAAGGCAGCAAAATGGAGTCTTAGGCCTGTCTATGACAGTTCTTGCTTTATAATTGTCTTATCTCACTTATCAAAATCTTATATCTATAATCTATATTTTTTACTAATCTATAACCTATAACTTACATTCTTGATTTTATTTATCAGTTCACACCACAATAGTAGAACTGAAAGGATGACTTTGGTCTCCCTAGCACTGTGTCTTATCAACTGGCCTCCTAGCTCTGGGAGTCTAAAGAGAATTATTGCGACACACAGCTCATATTGTCTTTACAGGATATAAACACAATGCAATCAGCTTGCTTTGGACATAAAGAATGAGGTGTGGGAGGAAGTAGGCCAGGCAGGGCCAGGAAACCACTGCCATCTCATCTCCATTTTGTGCCTCACAGCAGGAGAGGAACCAGGTGAGGATCTCAGCCACCCCTGCCCTGGGCCACATGCTATGTCCAGTTTTCAAATTCAAGGCTAGAGCCTCCATCTGAAAAGAGATTTCCACTTTTCTAGTCCCACTGCTATTTAGCTTTCAGGATAATATCAGGGTGGTGAAGTTCCTGGTCATCTCTGTCCTGCCACCTCCAGGCCTAATTCATCCCTTTTCTGCCAGAGCACAGCCCCCTTTCCTTTGGCTCCCTCTTCATGAGTCCACCCTTGTCTGTCCATTCTGCAGCCACCGCTTTGGCATTACCCTCTGGGCTGGCTCAGGCATTTGGAGCCCTCTTCATGGTTTTCCTACCTGGAGAGTCACAGGATTGGAGGTTGGGATTCCCTTCTCTCCATTCCATAGGCCGATGGAGGGGCCCTGCCTGTCATGATTGGCTGATCATCAGTCACACAGGTGTTCCCACATACCACACTCAGTGATCACATCCAGGAAGTAGAAGAGACTTCCTGGTGAATGAGTCCCTGAGGAAGCTTGGTCACGACATTCACATTGGGGACTCAACAACAGGCTTGGTGGGGGGGGGGCGGCGCAAAGAAGAGAGGACTGGCAGAAGACAGCTTCCTTCAGTCCCTTGGTTCTCATTGTTAATCATTAGCATATTCTGAAAAGCCATGGCTGGAATGCCAGTTTCTGGTTCTCCATTGTTGATTCTCCCAACTTTGCAGTCTTTGCCTCAAAGGCTGGGAGCTCCTGCCGGGTTACTGGATGGTGACAGGACTAAGGTCTTCGGGTTAGAGTGGGAGGAAGAGATGTGGGCAGGAGGTGTCAGAACTTTAGGTCAGTTGTCATGGTGTTAAGGGCTTGTGGCTCTTGTAAAATCAAACACAGGCCAGAGATCAGGAATCCCTGTTGAAAAGTAAGCGATTGAGGGCTTCGCAAATTGGTTAGGAGCTACCACAAGTAATCCTAGAACAGCACTTTACAAAGCACTCTGACATCCATTACGCCATTGAAGCCTTCAATTTTGTGAGGGAGAGTGGGGAGGTTTCATTTATTTTTTTTTCTGCTTTGTTTCTGGCTGCTGGGAATGGAGCCCAGGGCTTTGCTTGTGCTAATCACGGGCTTACCACTGAGCTGCACCCCCAGATTGTGGTTTGTATTTCAGCCCTACAGATAAGAACAATGAAGCCAGCAAGTGTCACGGCCAACATCCCAACCTGGGTCTCCCTTATCCTATTGTTGTACACGAGGTCTCCATTGAGTCTGTGATGTTGCTGGGATGGGAAGTGTAGGGGCATCTGAATCTGCATGTTCAAGCCCTTGAAGCTGGCTGAAGACAGACTGCTGCTGCTGTGGATGGTGTGAGCAGGCATGGCTGTGAGGTCTCTAGAGGAGTCCCAGGGCCACCCTCTCATGGTCAGCATGGCCCATCTTTGGCTCTGCAGGTATGCATAGGCAGACATCTGCTGGTGGGAGAGTTACTGTCCCAGAGCTTTGGCTTCCCAAGATGCCCCAGCCCTGCCTCAGAGCAGTCAGTCAATTTCATAAGTAAAGCAGTTGCCCTGCATATTCCCCTCTCCCCTCTTGACCTGCTCAAAGGCAAAGCCACAGCCAAGGTGCGACGGAGCTGGTTGCCTCCTTTCCTGGCCTTCATCTGATTAAAGAAGTTGGTTGCTTGAGGAAGGCTCAGAGGAGGCAGAGGAGGCTCTGTTCCTGTACCCCAGCTCTAGTGGGTCCCCCTGGCTGTCTGAGCTCTGCTTTCTGGGGAGAAGAACTATAGACGTTTGAAGAGAGAAGAAAACATCGCTGCCACTAGAACCTAACTATGGATTTTTCAAATTACTTTTGTTTCAGACTCCAATAGTGATATTCATTAATATTAGAAAACCTAAATAATTCAGATCAGCAAAAAAGAAGAAAATAAATAATGTCATTGTGGTGGAA